ATATAATTTGTGCTTTCAACCATATGGTTATTGGGGGATAGGCTACCATTTGCTTGTTCTTTTTTGATCTCTTTCAAACCCTACTGAACTATCCATGGCAGAAAATTTTAGACATGTTTTTGTGGAGAGGGACATAAGCTTAAAAATGCAAGACAGCGTTGGCGCAGTGCGGAGAAGGAATGGATGATCTCAAGCACAAGAGCGAAAATATTAGCACTGGCCTCACGAGGAGCGAGTCTCTACACGGTTGTAGCTGACATTCCAGAAGTCAGATACGCATGTACTGATAAAGAACTACCTTTTTTTTTTAAATTTTCATTCACATGTTGCAACATGGACGACCTTAATGAAGAAGAGGTTTTTGCTTGGCAGTGAGTTGAACTGGTCGGAAAGAAAAAATCTTGCTAATAATCAAAGAAGTTTATTCTTCCTTGAGGGACTGAAGTTGGATGAATCTTGAGACTTGAAGCTTTACAGAAAAGGGCATGGAGTGGAGCAGGAACCAGGACAGCACCTTCAACCATCATAGTGACCGTTCTCATGTTAGGCCTTTGTGATGGCTCATCCTGCACACACCACATTGCCGCCTTCACCAGCATCCTCACCCTCCCCATATCTTTTCTTGCTTCTTCATCATTTTCCACCAACTTCCCGAAATTCCCTTCGTTGTAGCATTCATATGCCCATTCTGTTAGGATTGCTGCCTCCTCTATCTCAAACATGGCACATCTTCTGCAACAGATGATCTCCAACAACACTACTCCAAAGCCATACACATCTGCTTTCACTGTGACAGGAGTACTCTTGAACCACTCTGGTTCAATATTTCCTTTAGTTCCCCTAATGCCTGCCAGGTTATGGCTCTTGCTGTTAATCAGAAGTTTTGCCAATCCAAAATATGAGATTTTTGCTGTAAAAGAATCATCTAGGAGAATATTCTGAGGCATTATGTCACAGTGAAAGACTTGAGTGCTGCATTCTTCATGCAGATATGTTAGTCCTCTTGCAATTCCAGATGCAATCCGCAGTCTCTGTTGCCAACTAGGCCTCAGAACTCTGAACAAGAAGCTCGCTAGAGATCCGTTCTGCAACAACTCATACGCAAGAAGCCAGTCCTCAGCCTCATCACAATATCTAAGCAATCTAACCAGATTCCAGTGGTGAGTTTATCCAATCACATTCACTTCTGTCTTGAACTCTTTTTCACCTTCCTGAACAACCTTGTCTAGTTTCTTCACAGCAACATAATGTTGGAACTTAAATATTTTAATAAAAAATAAAGTAATATATTTTATAAATTAAATTTATTGTCTCATTAAAAATTTAGTCAAATTAGCCGTTACAGGTTAATTGTCCTATTTAAAGATATATTATTTCATAATAATTACCCAATTTATTCTTATCATTAACCTACAAATGACAATTATAAAACCATGAGTCTTATAAATAGGAGATGTCTTGAACTCTTTTTCCCCTTCCTGAACAACCTTGTCTAGTTTCTTCACAGCAACATAATTCCTGGACAATTCTCCTTTATAAACAGT